GTTAGGACCTTGGTAAATATTTGCGGAATGAAAGAATGATGTTTTCAGCTTGGGTCTGAGGCAGAGCAGGAATGTTGCACGGAGGGCGTGGAGGTCAATGCACGGTCAGTTCATTCTTTCTAAATAGCTGAAGGATGAGGTATCAACCCTGCCTGCCCACTGGAGGGTTCTGGAGAGGTGGGGGCTCTTCCTGTCTGCAGTGCTGGCCCATCCAAGGTGTGAATCTCAGCTCAGTCACGCAGGGCTGTGTGGCCTTGGGCAAGTCACTTCTCTGAGTCTGTTTCCTCATCTTTAAAGTGGGGATGATACCACCCATGTCGGGGGTGTTATGAGAATTAAATGTGACAGGTATAAGATGCTCAGCAAGTGCCTACACATAACACATGGTCATAAGACAGCTCTTCCCTCCTGGCCACAGGATTTTAGAGCTGGAGGGGGCCTCGGAACATGGGACAGCCCTCAGGTTAAGATGAAGAAAGGGAAGCTCAGAGAAGGGTGGGACCTGCCCAGGGGCACACAATGAGGGCACAACTAAGTGGACACTGAGGCCCCAGGACCTTGCAATCCAAGCGAGAGTTTTACTCTTGAGACTCAGGCTTTCCCAGGTTCATGGCACTCTTCCTCTAGGTGGCCCTGCCTCTTTACCTAGTGGCAGGTGGCGGGTGGGGGTCTGGGGGCACTGGGTCTTGACAGCAGCATGGCAACCAGACGGTTCCCGCCTGGCACATGCTCTCAGGCCCAGGCCCCAGGTCGTTTTCCTGTCCCACATGCTCTTTGGCCACCCTGGAGCCAGGAGCCTTCCTCCCCACCCACTTTCCCCGGTCTCCGACAATGACCCAGGTGTCCGAAAGGATCTGTTCCTGACAATAAGCAACATCCTCTTGCCAAAGAATTGTAATTTTAGCCGGGCTGAACAGCTCCCCTGACAACACACATGCATGTGCGCAGACGTGGAGGCCGCAGGGCGCGTGCAGGCCCCTCTGCACACTGTGCACTGCCCCTCTCCCCAATACCATGCCTTCGAGTGTCCTCCTGAGGACAGGCTGCCGTGCGCCTTGTCCCAGCTGGAGTCTCAGACACAGTAAATGGGGTGTTTTCTGGCCTTCCCTCCCTCCCCAGGACAAACCCCCGTGGATCCTTGTTTTGTCCTGTCCCTCTGGTTTGTCCTGGACCCTCTCCTGTCTGGCCCTCTTGCTTGAAACTGGACATCCTCCCCTGCTCCCCAAACTTGAATCCTAGGGCAGCTTCTCCGTTTTTCTAAAAAGAGAGCGACTCCTTTGGGACCTGTGGGATGGGTGGCCAGTGTGTGAGGGGTGGGGCAGTGTGGGGGATTGAGCAATGCCCCCTCTACAGCACTCCCTGAACCCTGCTTTCTCTCTGATGCACCCACCCCCATCCTCCGTGCATCTCAAGGAAGTTGCCTCCAGGGGAGAACATACCTTCCCCACTGCTGCGGGTGCTATGGGTACAATCCTGGGGTCATTAACCCCATTGCTTAGACCCTGAGGGCTCCCAGCCTGGTGCCCTGCCCCACCTTGTTCACAGGGATACTCAGGCCAACAACCACGCTAGCCCCCCTTGTCCACACCTCTGTCCACTTGAGGGCCCCCAACCCCACCCAGCTCAGCTTTGGCCGCCAGCTCTACTTTACCTGCCCTGCCCTACCCACCCCTGGCCTGCAGCCCTGTGTCTGCTGAGCCAGCCCTTCAGCCAGCCCCCAAGGTGTGTGTCCTGGTAGTAAATACTACCATAACTAAAGCTGGAGCTGAATTCGGCTCCCAGCCCTGGGGTGGCTCTGGGGTAGGAGGCAATGCCAGACAAAGGGAGAAAGGGGCAGAAGCTGGGAGAGGTGCTGGTCAGACCTGCCACATGGCCTGCTGGGGAAGGGGGCAGCACAAGACTCACTCTTGGGGCGGGTTTTGGTTCTTCCTGGGAGCATGTGGGAGAGCCCTTTCCCTAGGTCCTCCTCACTTCTTTTTCCCGGCAGGGCCATGGTTTTGCAGCTACACCCACCCCACTCAGGTGTGAAGGGGAAGTCCAGGCCAGCACGGACAAAACCAGGGGCACAGCCAAGCTTCCTGGGGCTCCTTTTCCACTGAGCCTGCTGCAGGGGTAAGGGCAGTGGGTTAGCAGTCAGAGGAGAGTTGGCTAGTCCCTGCACTGCCAGGCTTGCCCTGGGGACCCTGGGTGGATCATCTCTCTTGAGTCTGTGGGTCAGATTTGTAGCATAATGGGTTTGGGCAGTAGAGTCCCATGCCAGCTAGCCCAAGGAGCCACACTCATTCATCACAAACTCCAATGTCCATAGGGCCAAGAAACCACGGTGACAGAGCGAAGCAGGCCAGGTGGAATTATTAGGGAGTAGTACGGACTGTGGCGAACTGGAGTGCTGGTGCCCCCCAAAAGCTGCTACTGAGCTCCAGCTGACAGTTGCCCTGTGGGAAAGCTGGTTTAGCGTTATCTTCTGATTTTCTAAGGAGAGCTGGAAGTCAGAATTTTCATGTCAAATTCTTGGTTTTTAAATGTTGCCATCTCAAGAAAATTAAAAAGATTTTGAGGATCCAATGAAATATGTGTGAAGACTGGATGTGGCCTGTGGGCTTCCAGTTTCTGGACTTTTTTCATCAGTGTAGTGTCTACATGCCTGAGTTTAATTCTGGCTCTAGCACTTGCTTGCTGTGTGATCATCAGTGAGTTACATAAGTTCTCTGTGCCTTAGTTTCTTCATCAGTGAAATGGGAATAAAAGTAATACCTTATATCATTGTTAGATAAGCCCATGAAACCCTCAGCACAGTGCACAACACATGCTATGTCTTCTTATTATGGTTCTACCTAGATCTTGCACCACCTGAGGTCCCCCATGCTCCCGGCTTTGAGTTCATACCTTCTGGAACTCTGGAACTTCAGTCCAACCACTTTCCCTTTCTGGGTCTCTGTGTTTCTGCCTGAAAAGGAATCCTGTATCTTGCCAAAGAAGTTCTGAAATCTCTGCTCACCCTGACAATGACTCTAAAAATCTGGGGCTCCCAGACTTGGCTCTCTGCCTAAAACTGCACTCCTCCAGACATGCCATTTGGGGCTTTGCTGCCTTTGGAGACTCTCCTTTAAACACAAGCCACCCAGGATCGGATCACAAGTTGTTATCAGTCATTCACACCTTAGCAGGAAAGCCTTTAAAGCTGGCTTCTCCATCCCACTGTGCTTCTCACTCCTAGGAGGCGCTTCTTGACTTGCTGAATGAATTAGAGACCTGTCTAACTCCCAAGTACCAAGCACCGACTACTCGCATGGCACTTGCAGAACACTTCATGTGAATTATTACTAACCCTAGCCTCAACTCTGCCAGGGAAATGTGTTCATTTCTGGGTGAAAACATCTGTGAGTGAGGAGTTGGGGCTCAGCGTCTAAGTGGCCCACAGCTACTGGTCCAATGCAGGCTGGCCAGCTCCAGAAGCCCCACCAGGCTGCCTCTCTCTTGACTGGACAAGGCTTTCAGCTCTTCCAGTGGGTCTCAGCCTGCCGCCCAGGGTCCTGGGCTCTAAGGGCAGGGAAGGGGCATCTGAAGGAGGATGTGGTGTTATCTTGGCTCTGGGCAATGCCCCTGGCTGGGGCAATGAAAAGGATGTATCAGTTTGGATTCTGTACATAGTTCTAACCCTCCTTTCCTCTCTACTAGACCCACAACAGCCTGACATGCCATTTAAAATAAAAATACCACTGGCCAGGCATGGTGGGTCACACTTGTAATCCCAAGACTTTGAGAGGCCGAGGCAGGAGAATTGCTTGAAGCCAGGAGTTCAAGGCTAGCCTGGGCAACAGAGGGAGACCCCGTCTCCAAAACAAATAAATTAAAAATAAAAATAACACTAACGTGTAATAATTGTAGGTATCCCTCAGAGATCTGCAGAGGGCATTAGAGCTCACATCTTGTGTTCTCGTCTTTCCCTCATCTAGTCCTCTCACAACCCTGCATTGTAGCCAATAGTTTTCTCACTGCACAGATGAGGAAACTGAGGCTCATACAGTTAGAAACACGGCCTCTAGCCCATATTCTGTTTTCAAAAGCTCATGCTTTTGAGGGTCAACCCGATTAAATGCCGGAGGATTGGGATAAGGCAAAGTGGGCCAGGGAATTGCTTCATTTTCTTGGTGAAAAAAAAGCAAACAGAACTAGACAATTTTCCAACATTGGCTGGGAGGAAGTGCACGGATGAGATGACCTTTCACGTATTCTCTGTCCCGGTCCCTCAGACACTGAGTTTTCCCATTTTCACACTACCTTGCTTAGGACACCCTTTCTACTGGCTGAAATCCTATCTATGCACCAAGTCCAAAGACCCTCCCTCCTTCAGGAAGTCCCTGACTGTCCCCAGAAGGCTGTTTCCTCCCTCCTCCAAGTGACCTGAGGGTTGGCACTGGATTGCCTTTGCCATGGGGTTCTACTCTTGAGAATGCAGACCTCATCTGCTCAAGGGGAGGCCATGCATTCAGCATGCAGGTGAGATGCAGCACCCGGCCCAGGCCTTGCACAAGCAGGTGCTCTCAGTGCTCCCTGGTGAGGACGGGAAGGCATGTTCAGTCCTAGGAGTAGGAAGGGGCAGAGGTGTTGATGACCCCTACAGAGCGGCCAAGGACAAGGAGCTGCTGTTCCAAACAGCCTTTCTGCTCCCCAACCTGCCTCCCACCCAACGGGCTGTGCATACACTCTACTGGGAAGAGGGACACACCCGACTGCATTGCTTCCCTCCGAGTCTCTCCCTGCCCTGTCTAGCATCCAAGAGCACCCCTAGTTGGGGAAGCTTCTGTGGCTCCCCCCGCAACAGCCTAGGATGGAGTGGGGTTCGTGAACAAATGCAGAAGGCAGTCTTAGGGAGGTCAGCTGACATGCCTGGGGCCTGAGGCTGGGAAGTAGCTGAGGCCAAGGTTCTTCCCTGCTCTGGGGGTGCCAGGAGTAGCGCTGGATCAGTCAGGTGACAGGGCTCTCCTCTCTCTGAGCAGGTCCGGTGGCAGCCTTCAAGGTCGCCACGCTGTATTCCCTGTACGTCTGTCCCGAGGGGCAGAACGTCACCCTCACCTGCAGGTTCTTCGGCCCTGTGGACAAAGGGCATGATGTGACCTTCTACAAGACGTGGTACCGCAGCTCGAGGGGCGAGGTGCAGACCTGCTCAGAGCGCCGGCCCATCCGCAACCTCACGTTCCAGGACCTTCACCTGCACCATGGAGGCCACCAGGCTGCCAACACCAGCCACGACCTGGCCCAGCGCCACGGGCTGGAGTCGGCCTCCGACCACCATGGCAACTTCTCCATCACCATGCGCAACCTGACCCTGCTGGACAGCGGCCTCTACTGCTGCCTTGTGGTGGAGATCAGGCACCACCACTCGGAGCACAGGGTCCACGGTGCCATGGAGCTGCAGGTGCAGACAGGTGAGGGCATCCTGCACGTGACAGCCCGGCGTGTGTGGAGGGCTGCCTGTCTGATGGTGTGACCATGCATGACACTGTGCTGGGCAGAGTGTGAGGCTGCATGGGTAGCACTGGCACTCCAGGGAGTGTGTGGGTGAGATGGGGTGGTCAAGGGTGTGTAGAGTGTGGGTGTGTTGTTAGCTGGAGTGATGGAGAGGGAGGGTGTACCTGGCTCCGTTTGGGACACTGAGATTTTTTAATGTGTGAGGCTGTAGGTACCTGGGCTGGGAGTGTGACTGCTCATGGTGACATTGTGGCTACCGTGGGTATAGGCATCAGCAGGACGGATTGGTGCCCTGGGGCATGACTCAGTAGATGGCTGAATGGCTGTTGAGGAATATGTGTGTGTGTCTGTCTCTCTGTTCAGGTGAGAGTGCAAGGGCCCGTGGTTCGGGTAGAGGTGTGGGCGCCGGCGGGTATCCACATGCCACTGGGAGTGGCATGAGAATGGGCTGGGTGAGAACATGCCAGGGTGTGTGTGTGGGTGCACGTGTGTGCAGGCTGCCACTGGGCCAATACTGCTGAGTAGGCACTAGCGTGAGAACCTGGGGCGGGAGGGGGACACTGGCCTGGACAAGCCTCCCTGGCCTCCTGGGCCTGACACCCACCTAATGGCCCTTCTGTTTGTCCCCACAGGCAAAGATGCACCATCCAGCTGCGTGGCATACCCATCCTCCTCCCAGGAGAGTGAAAGTAAGGGACCATCCTCTTGCCCCTTCTGGGTTATCTGTTCTCTTCTGTCCTCATCCTGCACCCAGACCCTGTTTGGAACTCTGGCCTTGTCACCCCAAGCCCACAGAAACCCCAGTCCTCCTCCTCCTCTGCTGCTGCACATCCTTTCTGCTTCCTCCTTGGTGCAGCCCCCAGAAGCCCACTCGCCTTCCATCTGCTCTGGAGTCTCTGCTCCTCTTGCCTCTCTGGAGTGGCTGTGCCTTGGCAGTCACCTTTGGCTGGGGAAAGTGCCTCATGACAGGTCCTGGGTGCCTCAGGCAGCTAAGTGCTGCCCTTCCCACCAGCCCCCTATGACTTCGGAAGGCTGGGGGTCTAGAATTCAACTACTTCAGATTTCTGTGTTCTGTGTTTCTGTGTTCCTCAGATGTTCTCTGTTGTAGGGGAGGGAGGAGGAAGAGGCTCAGGAAGGGGAACAGAACTACCTTTCCTGAGTTCCCACTGTGTGCTGGGCACTGGACTAAGTATTACTACTTCAGGGATATATATATATTATATATATATTATATATAATATATATGTTATATATAATGTAATATAATATATAATATATTACATATATGTGAAATATATAGTATATATATATTTTTGAGACACAGTTTCACTCTGTCACCCAGGCTGGAGTGCAGTGGTGTGATCTGGGCTCACTGCAACCTCTGACTCCTGGGTTCAAGCAATTCTCCTGCCTCAGCCTCCCGAGTAGCTAGGATGAGATTACAGGCATGCACCATCACGCCTGACTAATTTTTGTATTTTTAGTGGAGACGGGGTTTCACCATGTTGGCCGGGCTGGTCTCAAACTACTGACAAATGATCCAACTGCCTTGGCCTCCCAAAGTGCTGGGATTACAGGCGTGAGCCACCACACCTGGCCTCAGGATTTTTTTTGAGAAAGAATCTCGCTCTGTCACTCAGGCTGGTATGCAGTGGTACAATCACAGCTCACTGCAGCCTCAAACTTCTGGACGCAAGTGATCTTCCTGGTTCGTTCTCCCAAGTAGCTGGGACTATAGGCATGCATCACCATGCCTGGTGAATTTTTAAAAATTATTTTTGGGGTTAGGTGTGGTGGCTCATGCCTGTAATCCCAGCACTTTAGGAGGTCAAAGACAGATCACTTGAGGCCAGGAGTTCGAGACCAGCCTGGTCAACATGGTGAAACCCCGTCTCTACCAAAAATACAAAAATTAGCCAGGCATGGTGGTGTGCGCCTGTAGTCCCAGCTACTCAAGAGACTGAGGCAGGAGAATCACTTGAACCCAGGAGACAGAGGTTACACTGGGCTGAGATTGCGCCACTGTACTCCAGCCTGGTGACAGAGCGAGACCCCATCTCAAAAAAACAAAACAAAACAAAACAAAAATTTGCCTGGCATGGTGGCGGGCATCTGTAATCCCAGCTACTCAGGAAGCTGAGACATGAGAGGTGCTTGAACCTGGGAGGCAGAAGTTGTAGTGAGCCGAGATCACACCACTGCACTCCAGCCTGGGTGACAGAGTGAGACTGTCTCAAAAAACAAAAAAATCACTTTTGGTAGAAATGGACTCTTGCTATGTTGCCCAGGCTGGTCTCGAACTCCTGGGCTCAATTGATCTTCCCACCTTGACTTCCAAAGTGCTGGGATTACAGGCGTGAGCCACCACGCCTAGCCTCAGGGAATTCTTATAAGAACTCTATGAAGCAGGCATCACCATCTTCTCTGTATCCATGGGAACAGAGGCCCAGAAATGTATGCTAACTTGCCCAAGCTCACATAGCTCAGGGCAGCATAGCTGGGATCTGGTTGCAGGCCTGCTTAGCTCTGCTTACTCACCTTCTTCTCAGCTTGGGGCTGTGCAGTGGGTAGCAGTTAGCCCCTGGTGCTTGCTCAGAGAGGTGCCCTACAGGGTAAGGGGGCAGTGCTCTAAGGGTGCCTGGCACTGAGAGGTTGGGTGAAAATACCCAGCAGCTTGGAGACAAAATGCAAGGGCACCTCCCTCTTCTGAGTACAGGTCTTGGCTTCCACATCCCTCTACACCCTGTATGTGTCAGGCATCCAGTGGGGACCACCCCTGCTAGGCCCTGCAGATACAAAGGCATCCAGGAGGACATGCACGAGGACCTAAGCTGGAATGGGGATCAGCTAAACCAAACCCAACTCAAAGGCTACATTGACTTTTTACTCAGCTACCCTTTTTTCCAACCAACAAACAGGCCAAGAGCAAAATTAGAACATGCATTTTGGTCGGAGCCATGTTGGTCAGGCTGGTCTCGAGCTCCTGGGCTCAAGTGATCTACCTGCCTGGGCTCCCCAAAGTGCTGGGATTACAGGATTGAGCCATTGTGCCCAGCCCCAGTCGCAGCCTCTTAATGTTATCCTTGGGAAGTAAGAGTGTAGCTTGACTGTGAAATAACACGGAAGTACAAGTTGGCCTGAGGTAGGGGAATGAGACTAGAGAAGCTGGTGCCCAAGGAGCTCCTGCATTGCTGAGGGGCTGTGGTTTCTCAGTGAGCTCAGAGAAGGGGGCCAGGCAGCTCATCTCCCTGTGAACTTCTTCCTGCCTCCCCAGTGCAGCAGAATGTGCTGTCTGCTTTCACCCAGCTTCCTCCCTGGGAAACCAGGCAGCCCAACCCTCAGCAGCCAAACTCCCTCCTCCACATATCCCCGTGGGCTACCAGGCAGGCCCTGGACAAAGGCTGCCTGAGCAGGCCAGGCCCCTCCCATCCCCCCCTGCTGTGTCAGGGCCTGGCACATTCCTTAGTGCGGTGTCGGCAGCTACCTCTGCCAGCGCCTGATCACCTTCCCAGGATAAGCCTGGTTCTGGATGGTGAGCAAGCATGCCTGCCCTCCCCTGTGAGTGCCAGCCCAGGCACTGGCCACGCTTGGGGGAAGGGGTGGGGAACTGTGGCGAGGCTGAGCTCTGCAGAGATGCCTGCGGCTTCAGAGAGCAGCTGGATCCACAGACCTGTCCCCAAACCTCTGCGCCCCTCTGCCCCAGAGTCAACTCAGCCCAGGTTGCAAGGAAGCCTCAGGCTCTTGAAGAGACATTAAGTCCTGATCTGATAGAGGGGCCACAGAGGGGAAATCTCCATGTGGGGACAGAAGTTAGGCAGGAATATCTTTGTCTTTGGAGAGCTCACCCTCCAAAGGCAGACAGGGAACAGGCATCAGTGGCACCTGGCAAAGCTCACAAAATGTTGCTTAGTAGCCGTCCAGAGGAGACCTGCTTTGATCACTAGAAGAGAGTGCTTTGCAACTGGCTTCTCAAATATTGCCCACAATAAGGTCCTTTGATGGGGGTTTTGAAATACTGAGGTGTCTAGGTTATAGAATGTCTTTACTTTCAATATTCCACGTCAAAATGCAGTCTTGCTGAGATCTGCAGGGAACCTGCTGTAATGTGGAGCAGAGCTTGCTTTGTAATTAGCATAGCAACTGTTCCTCTACCGGTGGGTACTTCTAAAGTGCCTGAAAACAGTTTGTTCTCATTTGCGGTATGAACAAACCTCCTGAAAACTTGTTTACACTGTCGAATTGTAGAGCAAAACAAAAACAGACTTTATTCCCAAACAAATAGCGCAAAGGCAACATGTAGACCACAGCCCATCTACCTCTCAGGGGCGAAGCTGACACTGTGACAAGGTATCCCAGCCCATCTTTTGGCTCTGGGAAAGGCTAAAATTGGGAAGGAAATGCGTTTATGTTGGTTGTGGTTCCGAGGGCTAAACTCCTGCAGTCAGCAGATGGCCTGAAATAAATCAAACCTCCCCATGCTGTTGGGACAGCAAAGCGGTACAACCTTTTTGGAGGGCAATTTAGCAATAGCCTAAAAGAAAATGCACATACTCTTTGGCTCAGCACTTTGACCGCTGGGAATTTACTACAGATTTCCTTCCTGAGTGAGCCAGGCTGCATGCACAAGTTGATTGCTACATGATTAGTTATGCTGAAAACGGAAACAACGTGTTTACCAACAGGGGACTGCTTCAATAAATTTAGTGGGAGCAATGTGATAAAACCCTAAGCAGAATGAGATAGGTGAGACAGAGAGATGTCCACGCTGTGCTCAGTGGGAAAAGCATTGTCATATGATCCTGCATCTGTTGTATTTGCAGGGAATATGACTAGGACCACAACACAGAAACCGGCACACAAGGATGGTCTCTTCAGAGGGGCTCTTGGTACAAAGGGAGAAGAATATTTGAATATTTTTTTAAGCTTGTACTTTTTTTGGTAATTTAATAAGTTTAAAATTGAAAAACATTGGACAAGGATTCACGTTTTTCTAGTTCTCACCTCGGGTGTTTCTCCTGTGACTTGTGTGGCAAGATCAAGGGGTTCCAGAGGCCCCGTCCCAGAGCTAAGGAGTCTCTGGGATGAGTTGGGGCTTTTAATCTATTATGATAAAACATATATAATGTAAAATTTATTTGCCATTTCAACCATTTTAAGCCTACAGTTCATGGCATTAATTACATTCACAATGTGCAACCGTCACCGCTATCTATTTTCAAAACTTTTCCATCACTTAGGCTTCTTTTGACCTTGAGCTCTGTGGCATGGGTCTGCGAAGGCCCTGCTCTCCCTTTTCAGGGAATAACCTGTAGCCAAGGGTGTTCCAGCTGTCCCTTGTGGGCTGGGATGAGGACTCTGTTCCCTCTCTTGCCTGGAGCCGCCTGAGCTGTAGGTGACTAGTCTTATTTCTGTATGCTCCAGGTGCATATGGCGGCAGGCACAGGGCTCTCTTTGAAAGGAGAACCCCTTATCTTCCATGCCTCTGCAAGTCGCTGGGGGTCTAGCTGTGGGACTCCGGGGAAAGGCGGGTCTCCCTGCTGCCTGGTCTTCCCTCTTTGGGCCTCAGTTTCCACTTGGGAGGAGCAATGGGAATGGGGCTTCACTCTGGCTACCTCTCTGCCCTTTCAGACATCACGGCTGCAGCCTTGGCTACGGGTGCCTGCATCGTAGGAATCCTCTGCCTCCCCCTCATCCTGCTCCTGGTCTACAAGCAAAGGCAGGCGGCCTCCAACCGTCGTGAGTACTCCTGCCTGCCTGGGGTGGGTGGACGGTGCAAGTGACCTGCTCCAACCCCCAGCTCAGCGCCTGGGATTAGCAGGGCACGATGCAGGCACGATTCCTTTCCATTTGAGAGTTGGGAGCTGCTGCACTTCTGGCCAGGAGCTGGGCAAAATGGCCGAGAGAACGGAGGCATGCCATTTCTGGGGACCAAGTGCCCACCAGCCCCTTTGGCTCCCAGGCAGTGCTGGCCCAGCACTCAATACATGTCTTCTGAATGAATGATCATATGGAGTAGCTCAAGTTGCTTTATAAAAATGCTGCCACTCAGAGTCCTTGGGGGACCTGTTTAAGGTATAGGCATGCTTGTTTTGTAATTAGTAGCAATTGTTGAGACAAAAAATGACTTTTGGAATATTAGAAGTGGAAGGGGTCTTACAGATAATGTAGCTCAACCCTTTCTTTTTCCAGATGAGAAGGCTAAGATCAGCG